TATCCAAAAGATAACGAAGTCCATTGAAGTTTCTCGGCAGTTCAAGATGCCGCTCTGTCTAACATTTATTGATTTAAAGAAGGCCTTTCATTCTCTTGAGACTGAAGCGGTCATAGAGTCCATAGCCAAACAGGGTGTTCAAAGTCAATACATCAGGATCCTCCTTGAGCTGTACTGCGGATTCACTACCAGGATCTCACCATTCTACAGGGATGTCATCATTGACGTCAAGAGAGGGGTTTGGTAGGGTGATACCACTTCACCGAAACTCTTCAGTGCCACCCTTGAGAACATCATGCGACAACTGGAATGGCAAGGAATGGAAGTGAAGATAGACGGTCAGCAACTATACCACCTACGCTTTGCTGATGATATCTTTCTTATAACACCAAACATCAGCCAAGTGGCACAAATGCTGGCCGACTTCGAACGTGAGTGTGGAAAGGTCAGACTACAGCTGAATCTAACAGAAAATGTTCATGAGAAATGGTCTTGTTCCTGACGTTCCATTCACTCTCAATGGGATGAAAATCTCCGAATGCAACAGTTATGTGTACCTAGGTTGAGGAGTCAACATGACGAATGACCTGGCACTTGTGGTGCGCAGGAGGAAGAGATTGGCTTGGAACGCCTTCAAGAACATTGAAGAAATAGCTAAGAGAACAAAGAACCTCCAGCTCTGGTAACATCTCTTCGATTCCACTGTTCTTCCTGCATTAACATACACCTTAGAGACCTGGGCCCTACACAACAGGGTGAGGACGCTATTTGGGTCTCCCAAGGAGGAATTGAAAGAGCTATGCTTGGAGTATCACGCTTCACTCAAATGAGGAAAGAATCCAGAGTTCCGACCTTCATCGAAGGTCAAGAATCAGGGACGCTGTGTTGTTTGCCATCAGAAAATCAGATGGGCTGGACACGTAATGAGATTTGGAGAACACTGCTGGACTAGAGCCATTACTGATTGGATTCCACGGGACATCAAAAGATCGCATGGCCACCCACCTATGAGATGGTCTGACTTCTTTGTCAAGACCCTGAACAATTGGTTTGAGGCTCTTCATGTTCCTAGAATGAGCAGATGCCATTGGGCAACACTAGCACGCCACAGGGACAAGTGGAGACATTACTGGTGCCTGCTTGAGCAAATAGATGAGTAACAGGATGTCAAGTGATCAAGTGATATACATATCCCATAGTAGAGGAATAACAAATATATATTATATACATATATATCATAGGATATAGAGATAGATAGATAGATAGATAGATAGATAGATAGATAGATCATAGTAGGTGAATAATAAATGCACAGGGTCAAAAGGAGAGAGAGAACAAAAGGGAATGCCCTGCCACAGAGGCAGGGTGGGATGGGGGGGATGGGGGTGGGAGGGATATTATCCATGGTGGTGGAAAATGGGCACTGGTGGAGGGATGGGTATTTGATCATTGTATAATCCAAACCCAAGCACAAAAATTGTAAATCTACAACTGTACCTCATGGTGTTTCACTAATAAAAATTTTAAAAAAGGTAAGGTAAAGGCCCTCCCATTGATCATCGATTTGCTCGAGTGGGCCCAGTAACGTCTCCATTGGAGACTTTGTTGTTACTGTGTCTGGCATATCGAATACGTCACGGGGAACTTGCCAGGCTCTGCCGTGCGGGCGAGATACTCTTGGTAGCTTGCCGGGCTCTCCAAGAGGGGCGGAGGAATCGAACTCGGGTCGGCCATGTTGGCTGCGTGCAAGGCAAACATCCTACCGCTGTGCTATCGCTCAATGCACAGGGTCAGTAGAAACAAACATGAGAACTGCCTTCAGCAGGAAGCTTGCCTTAGGTGCAGGGGATAAAACAGTGAAGAGAACACTGTGACAATGAAGGAGGGACGTGGCCATTCTGAGAAGGAGGGAGCACTGAAAGGTGGTAAAACATTAAACACGGAAACCCTACCAGCAACCATAATGTGAAACCACATGGCCTATACTAATGTTTTAAAATGTGCCTGGCATAGAGGCAGATTGGTGGGTAGAGGAAAAACTGGGGACATTGGTGGAGGAAAATGGACACTGGTGAAGGGATCGGTGTTAAAACATTGTATGCCTGAAACCAATTATTAAAAACTCTGCAATTCATGTTGACAAAATTTTTTTAGATATATTAAACAAATTTTAAAAGTTTATACTCAGTGCTATGTGGATACCTCCACTGACTTCCCACTAACAATATTCAGTTTTATATTTCAGAACAGGGGAAAAGCATTAAATGCAATGTATTATCTATTTTATTTTGTAGGATGTTCATGTACCTCGTTATGGTTCTTTTTAAAAAGGCAACCCCAGAAGCAACATTCTATAGCAGTAAAACACAGTTTTGATCAAAACTTAACGTGCCACATGAAAAGAAGTACAAATCCTATTTGATGTGAAGGTTTGAGGGTAAGTTATTTCATTCTCTTGAAGTAGGAATTGATCTTGCAGTTAAAGGGGAAAAAATAGAGAAAAGTTTTCCCCACTGGGCAGAAAAACGCAGAACTATGGATTTTGTAGTAAAACATTACAAAATTTCCCCTGTCTGTAGAAAAGATATAATGGCATATTAAAAGAGAAACCACTTAAAACATCAGAGAAAAATAATCCCTATCAAACTGCATGCAAAGGAAAGGATTAAACACACAGTTTGGTGTCATGAAGACTCTACAGGAAGTCATGAACATAAAGACCTGGACTAGTTCTCCTGGCCTTGAGCTGGAAAATGCACCTTTATTCATACCCGAAGGGTTGTTGCTTCCTTTTACAAAGTAACCATTAATTAATAAATTAATTAATTAATGAAAATGGAAAAATTTTGGAGAATTTTCATAAGGGCATGAAAAATGCTTTGTTTGGAAATGCTAAGAAGGAAAACTAACCTAACATGTATGGGAGGAAACTAATACACTTTCTTAGTTGTTGTTTGTTTATAAGATACTACTAATGTCCTGTATTTTATCCTGGTACCCATTTTACCAAGTTGTTTATATTTATATATTAAAAATATAGCAAGGAAAGCTACTCTGAAATTAATCTGGTTAGAATATATACTAAAATAAAAATAAAATTAATACTATTACATCTGTGCACATTTTAATTATAGACATTTAATATTAAAATACAGTGTATAATTATTGAAGAGAAAAATGTTGTAAGATCACTTCAGTGTCAGGGAGATAGTCCAAGGATCAGGGGTAATGCCTTACACACACAAGGACCAAGTTTTATCCCCAGCACCACAGGGCCTCCTGTGCACCACCAAGTGTAGCTCTAGTGCCAAGAAGCATTGCTGAGCCTGGGGATCACTGCACTACAGTCCCTAGCATTAGACTGTTCAGCCCAGTCAGACATGTGTTACTGAGAGTGGCACCAGACTCCCTAAATACTCTTTGGGAGCCACTCCAAAATTAGTTCAAATACATATTTTAAATTAGATCTTATAAATTGATTTTTCTTTATTTTATAACTCAAATGTTATTACAAATAAAATACATATAATTTTTATTTTAACTATAATGTTAGGCCAGACAGTGGGACACTCAGCCTCAATGTGAATCCAATAGACCTAGTTCTACAATCTCTAGGCACAGCAAGTATATCGAGTCAGAGAGATAAACTCAATGGATTGAATGCGTGCCTAACATGGCCCAAGTTCAGTTCCCAATACCACATAATCCTCCAGGCATCAAGCGATAACGCTCCAGGGTGCAGAATCTAGAGTAGCCTCTGATCACTGTCAGGTGTGGCCCTAAAACAAACAAACAAAAAAATCAGGAAAAAAAATCTTCACTTCTCTGATATATTAGAAGTCTATTAAATTTCTCTAAATTTCACACAACACAGATGGATTATAATCATTATAATTGTAGCTCTTAGACCACTCTTTCCCATTCATCATTTTCATTTTTAAAAAAAGTTGCTACCCTGATTATGTCCTATGAAATTAGAAATCTACCAGGAAAAAAATTTTTTGAAAAAAGGAAATTAACAGAGTCAAACACCTCATAGACTAATGTGTCTACACAACACATCATAAGACACTCCCTACCCATTTTCCATAATTGCCACACCATATTTGATGGGGTTCAGACAGTAGACAACAAATCATAGATGGAAATATATATATGCATATATACATATTTTCAGACATAAATACCCTAGCTCACATCACCCAAACTTTAACAAGTTAGTGATGTCCTATAGAATGTCTTAATGGCTCTTGCCAAAATAGAACAATCTTCACATTGTTTCCTATATGAAATTTTTTTTTGTAAGCATGTTCAGAAGTTCTTCATAACAGACAATACGAAATATATTCTTTCGTTTGTGTTTTGGAACAAGCATTTAGGGCTTGGATGGAAACATCCTGAGTTTGGTGGTGGGAAGTTATGTTTGAATATTAAATGTAATCAAATATTGTGAAGTAGCTTATAAAATTTTAAAAAATTTTAAAAAATGAAAGATTAAAGCTAGTCTGGGGGAAACGGACTCTGATGGTAACAGAAATGGGATTGGTCTTCTAGCACATAGTTAACCATCTGCGGACCAGCTTCCTTTCATCTGGTTTTTATGGCCCCTGTTGTTTCATCAGTACTTCTCTAGAGACTGCACTAAAACAGGCTGGCAGCCATGTGTGGGTTGCCTAATTACAGTAACCTGGGATTTGGCCACTTGGTAGTCAATTTTCACTTTATGAAGGATGTTAGTCTAATGAGTTATATGATCATCATTATCATTATTAATACCTCAAAGTCAACCACACCCAGAAATGCTGAATAAGCTGGTGGGATAGGACTGGGGTGGGGGGAGCCAGTGTGTACCTTTAAATACCAGTGATCACAGCCCAGACTCCACTCTGTGAAGACAGCTGTGGAGTGTTTTCATCTGGTTCTCCCTCTCTTCCACACTGCAGCCTGATCATCACTCTGTATACTACTGTTCACCCATCTAGAAGATTCCAGCCAACACCATGACTGATGACGAGCTGTCTGCCTTGGTGGTAGATAATGGGTCAGGGATGTGCAAGGCGGGTTTTGGTGGTGACGATGCCCCTCGTGCTGTGTTTCCCTCCATGGTAGGGCGTCCCCGGCACCAGGGAGTCATGGTTGGCATGGGCCAGAAGGACTGTTATGTAGGGGATGAGGCTCAGAGTAAAAGAGGCATCCTGACCCTGAAATATCCCATTGAGCATGGAGTGGTCACCAACTGGGATGACATGGAGAAGATCTGGCACCACACTTTCTACAACGAGCTCCGGGTGGCACCAGATGAGCATCCCATTCTCCTCACTGAAGCACCCCTCAATCCCAAGATCAACCGGGAAAAAATGACTCAGATCATGTTTGAGGCCTTTAATACTCCTGCCATGTATGTGGCTATCCAAGCTGTACTGTCCCTCTATGCCTCAGGCCGGACCACAGGCATTGTGATGGATTCCGGAGATGGGGTCACCCACACTGTGCCCATCTATGAAGGCTATGCCCTGCCGCATGCCATTCTACGTCTGGATCTGGCTGGCAGAGACCTGACTGATTACCTCATGAAGATCCTGACAGAACGAGGGTACAACTTCACCACTACAGCTGAGCGAGAAATTGTTCGAGATGTCAAAGAAAAGCTGTGTTACGTGGCCCTGGACTTTGAGCAAGAGATGGTCAATGCTGCTGCTTCCTCTGCTCTAGAAAAAAGCTACGAGCTACCGGATGGGCAAGTGATCACCATTGGGAATGAACGTTTTCGCTGCCCAGAAGCCATTTTCCAGCCATCCTTTCTGGGCATTGAATCCAGTGGGATCCATGAGGCAACCTTCAACTCAATCATGAAATGCGATGTGGACATTCGCAAGGACCTCTACGCTAATACAGTGCTGTCTGGAGGCAGCACTATGTATCCAGGTATTGCTGATCGGATGCAGAAGGAAATTGTAATCCTGGCCCCTGGCACCATGAAAATCAAGATTATAGCGCCCCCAGAGCGGAAGTACTCGGTTTGGATAGGGGGTTCCATTCTTGCTAGCCTGTCCACGTTCCAGCAGATGTGGATTAGTAAGCAGGAATATGACGAAGCTGGCCCTCCCATCGTCCATAGAAAATGCTTTTAAGTGGGCTTGCCTGGATTTACGTTCTCCCTTCTTCTAGATCAAAGTACTTCTTTATCAACTTTGTCAAAGTCGATGAAGTACTTCTTTATCAACTTTTAATTGAGTCGGGGTAAATAGACCATTCTTGCGCATATGAAAACTAGAAAACTTCTCTTCATCCAAGTCCTGTGAGTTCCTGCCTAACTGACCATATCGTGACCTCTGTCAAGGAGAATTCTGATGCCATATGCTATTTTCTTTATCTTTATGTAGTTCAACAAAATGTAGACCTGTTTAAAGTAAGTTATGAATAAACTCATGGGAAATGTGATTTCAGAACGGATAACTAGAATTTGCAAACTTTTATATACTTTTCTTGCTAAAATATTTAAGAATAGAAGCCTATCTATCCTGTTTTTAAAATGTGCATGAATTTAGAAAATTATATCAGTTTACATTTTTTCACTTCTTTGAATACAAATAATGAATTATATGAGTCAATAATACCCTTATATACATAAGCAGTGGAGAAATAAAATGTAATATTTTTAAAACACTGATATATCTGGCTATCTGAACAGTCAATGTGAATTCTTGAAATGCTCAACACTCATTGTTTTAGAAACGATGGATTTTATTACCTTTATTAAATAAATATAATAAAACAGCTAACATTCAAATAATGTTGTGTATAAATCAACTAAATTTACAGCTCAGAATGGAGTTCTGTTGGTCAAATACACGTTTTAATGTTTTACTAATTGAACTTCATCCTACTTACAAGACAGGAAAAACTGAACTTAAAACATGTTAAAATAAAGAGATCTGTAATGTCGAATTAATGTTACTACACTCCAATTTGACAAGGATAAATTTATCTCTATTTGCATAAAATATCTTGAATATTTTTGTAAGCTATGATTTGAGATTTCTCTTTCAAAGACTTCACTGTAAGAAAAACAAAACCATAATATCTTTATAAGTTATAAATTTCAGAACCAATATAGATCATTAGTTTTATTCTTGAAAATATTTTAGGATAACTATGCTTTAATGTGCCCATTAAGTAGCAATATTTTAAGCAGAATATTTCTGAGATTAATTTCATAGAAAAATCAGTGTCTCTTCCTACAATATATGAATGTATTTTGATGAACCCAATAATTACTTTTTAAAATTTTAAGTATATTTATTTCTATCTATTTTTTGATTCCTGATTATCTGAATATCAACATTATATGAATTTTTCAGGTTTTTTTCTAAAAATTAAAGTATTATGGTTGCTTATTAAAACAGTATCAGATTCTCACTTTTCCTTTTATTATTAGATCCTTAAAAAGGAGGAAATTCTTTTCTTTTTGTCTTAATTAGGAAATAATACTTGTATTTTGAAATCCAATTTGGAATAATCTTTAAGCATTTTTTTTCCAGTTTGGGGGTCATAGCCTGCAGTGTTCAGGGACTACTTCCCACTCAGTCCTCAGGGATCTCTCCCTGCCGTGCTCAGGAATCCATGTGTTGTCCATTTTCAAAACTGGGGCTCCCACATGCAAGATATATACTCCAGTTCTTTCAATAATCACCCCAGTCCTAAGCAATTTTAAAATCAAATATTCCCCCCAAAAAATGATTATTACTTTCTTATTGACAATACAATTTTTTAAAAAACTTAACCAAAATAAATCTCCAAAGGTGCTTTATATTATGGCTTAGAGTTTCCTTTCACTTTTAATTAATTTTAAATAAATTAAAATTCATACTAACATTTCCTGTCATTTCCTTTCAATCCTTCCCAAAGTAATAGAGAATGATGCAAAGGGATCCTTTTTAATTTGTACCACTGATTCATACCATATGTTATAATTTTGCACCTGGTACATTTGACTATAAAAGCCTAAAAGTCAATTTTCTTTCAAGAAAGATGACTAGTCAGATAAGAACATAAATTCCATGTAATAGCAATTTAAAAGTTGGATATTAGTGGATAAGCAGATCTTTGGGTAATTAGTAGGTAGAGATAATGGCAATGATAATAATAATACCTTGGATTAACATGCTGCAACACTTTCCATTTGCAGAAGAGCTCTCACACATTCTGACCTACATTCTCAATTATAGGGAAAAAAAGTACATCTTTCATCAACAGAGAGTTTATGGTACTAGTAGAGTGAAATTCCAAGAAAAGAAACAATTGAACCTCAGATCATAACATGAAAATATGGATTCCATAATACAATCAGACATTTAAACCTAGGTTCTTTGGATATATTCTTGTTCCTCAACACTGACAGATGGATGAAATTTAAGGGGAGGAAAAGGCCATATCACATCTAATATTTTAAAATCATTGCCATCTATTGAGGAAATATAATTGATTTGCTATTTATCAGCAGGTCACCAGCCTCTCTCAGTACCAAATTACTTGGAATATTTTATAGAAGCACAGATTCCCTGGTCCTGGCTCAGAAATTCTCATTCAGTAAGTCTAAGATGAAGATGAAGAATCCACATATAGATCCAATTCATGCAATAACACCTTTTGATAATCCAGATCTGGAGCCCTTGCCTGAAAGAGCTCAACAGACTAGAGTGTATGCTTCATATTCAGGCAGGCAAGTTCATTGCTCAGCATTGCATAGCGTCCTCCAGAGCACCACTAGGACTCCCAAACAAGTAAGAAGTAGCCTCTCAGCACTATGGTATGCAACCAATAAAATTTTTTTAAATAAATAGGAAGAAACACATTATAGTCTTCAAAGGCAGAACAAGACTGAAGACATTTGCTCTATCCATTTTCTTCCAGAGATGGGAAAGAACTGAGGTATCCTTTAGAAATGAATTTTATACTATTACCCTCTCTTATCCTATTTTATACTATTTCCACCCTCTCTTACTAATCCACCTATGTAGAAATCTCAGATTGGAATTGTACCACAAGGTCTCTTGAATTGTTATTTCCTAATCACAGGTACCAATGTTCTGAAAACATGCAGTGATGCGAAGGTAACACCTACACTCTCCTTAGCTAATTTATAGATATGCTTATTTTTCAATAGTGAGAGAGTACAATACAGATTGGGGACCAGAGAGAAGTACAGTAGATAAGGCACTTTCTTGCACACAACTGGCCAAGGTTTGATTCCCAGAACCCCATGTAGTCTCACAAGAAACTTCAAGAGTAATCCCTGAGCACAGACCCAAGAGTAAGCCCTGAGCACAGTTGGGTCAGGTCAAAACTCACATTCATAATTCTATAATAGAGAAGACCCAAGAATTGTGTGATACTTTTAAATAATCAAAGAATAATTCTCTGTGGAGGCAAGAGCTTTGCCACGTTTATTTATACCTTCTTTTACTATTAATTCAATACTCTGAGCATTGTTTCCTTGATGAAAGAATATGCAGTATTATTTAAAGGTGTTTCATTGATGAAACACAGTTGAAGATTCATGAGTGTGCAAATAAGGACAATACAAGGCAAGCTGTTCAAAGAGGACTTCATAAAAAAAGACAGAGATACAGAATATAAAAGCTTAAATATTTAGGTACCATTATGATCTTTGGGGTTAATGGGATAGTTAATTCTTCTTCTGAGTATCTTCATTGAACCATGCTGGGAACATAAACTTTAAGGTCCAGTGCAAGTGTCACCTTTTCAATTTAGCATAGGACCTATATACAAATCTACACACTCTCCAATTCTTCTAAGAGTCCCTTAAAGACACAGACATCATTTATCCACCTTTTAACCTAATTTACTCAATAAACATGAATAATTTGTAGATTCTGATGCACATGTGCATATTATTTTCTGCTTCATTTGCTTCTTACCATTCTGTTCTCAGTTCCATGAGCGCTGGTGTCTTACATTCTGTTCCCTTTCCTCTGAGAAATATTTTATTTTTCCTTTACTCCTGTCTTCTCTTTCCTTTTCCATACATTCCTCCTGTGCTTTTCAAAATGCAGATCTGGGTTTGTTAAGCTTTTGCTTGTCAATGAAAGATTTTCTTGATCACCATGACACTGGGCTAGACAAGAACTTGGTGCTATATGTGGCGAAATAGACACTTAAAAAGGTGAGAAGTTGCACTGTTAAAACTTTATAGAGTTTGATAATTTTTTAGTCGGCTTAAAAGTTTGCCTTTAGGTGTCAGTAATAATACAGTGGGTAAGGTGTTTGCCCTGCATGTGGCCAACCCAGGTTTGATCCACGGCAGCCTATATGGTTCCTGAGCACTCCAAGGAGTGATTCCTGAGTACAGAGCCAGAAAAAGACCCTGAATATCACTAGGTGTGGCCCAAATATCTGACCCCAAAAAAGTTTTTTTAAGCTTGCCTTTATTCTGATTATTCAAATACCTTCCCCCCAAAATAAGTTTTTTTTATAAGTTTGCCTTTATTCTGATTATTAAAATAATCATGTAACCTTATTTTTTGTGTACTAAGTATATGAGAAGGAAGGGAAGAAGGAAGAGAGGGAGGGAGGGAGGGAGGGAGGGAGGAAGGAAGGAAGGAAGGAAGGAAGGAAGGAAGGAAGGAAGGAAGGAAGGAAGGATAAGTCTTCAGTTAACAATAGTACATTCAGCTCTTCATGTCTAGTTGCACTCTTGCTGATATTTTTCTCTAGTTTCCAAATTGCTCTAGAGTTGAATTCCAGGCCTCTGTATCCGTAATAACTCAGACATTAAAATATACTTTAAAGTGCTTTTTTGCTCACTTTCCACAGCCTCCTTCCAGAATTTACAAAAGATTTCTTACAAAAATATGTTTGAAGTTAGGAATTAAGCATGTGGTTTTCCCAGTACTGCTTCCAGATGTTGATAAGTACAGTTGGAATGGCTTTAGGGATATATATATGTACATATCAGTAGAAAGACTGCTCATTAAAGTTAATTGATACTTTAAGACTTCCTTTTTAAACATGAAAGGACCTGTCTAAACTATGCTGTCATTTTTTTAAACTAGCATCATAAGTAATAATGAATCTCCTTGAGCTGCCTGCCTTGTTCTTTATCCTAGTT